CTTCGATTCTAGGCGTAAAATTATGTTTTCCGGTTTCCGTGCAGGCAATGAGTTTCCCAGTCCAATTGTTCCTTCAATTTGATACAGATCTGACTTTTCTGTCATCGTCAAAGGCAAGAAGCTGTTTGGTATCTGCTGTAGGCGCATTACCTGAACATATGAATATTCGTGAATAATTGCGATATACTCACCGTTTTCACAAAAGCTTCAAGTGTACGCACTTTTCTTGCTTTTACCAAGACTAATGTCACAAGGATGAGTTCTTCGCCAGCTATTCGAAGTCAGTGGATGCATACAGCATGGCAGTTTCAATTTGGGAAATGCTGACACGAAGATTGGACCAAGTGGTGAATCCTCACTCCGTGAGGATCCATTCATGCCCACCATTTCTTCAGTCTCTTTGATCGGTGAGAATAACCTCATTTTTACCTGTCTAAAAGGATCCAACTTGAAAAGTAGAGTTAATGAAAACTTTTGCGCTTGCAGTGGAATGGCAGTAGATCCGTGTCAGCAACCGTCAGTGACACAGTTGGTCCGACTCTTTGATGTGATCATGTGCAACGTCTGCACGAAGGACAATTCGCAACTGCGCAATCACCTCGAGAACGCTGTAGTTCCCAGTACCTCTCAAGAGACCAGCGTCATCACCGTAGATGGGCATAATTTTTGGAGAAGTCCTAGCAACCTTGTAATCTTCAGCGTACTTTTCAAGCCTTTCAAAACATCGTCATGCCTTAGCTATTAGTTTATTTTTCATCTTGTCGGTTCCAGTGGACGCGCTGATTCACCCTCATTGTAAACATCACATAAGGTTACAGTACAGATACGCCAACCCGTACTTGCAGTAATTGACAGCAAGCACCGGAATGTTTTAGTTATATTGACATGTGATTTTCGAGCCATAAATATCGAAACGTTTCCATGTATACGCTACTCAGCGATCGCAGTGAGGTACCGAAGAATTATCAAGCATACTTATTCCTCACGAAAATATCTCGTAAGGTACTAAAGGTGCTTCCAAAAGGCACCAGCTAAGTGATGTAAATTGGCTCAATTGCATCTTCCGGTTTGTCGCCTAGACGCG